CATAATTGACGCTCTCTAGAAATATATACGGGGATACGTTTTCACAACGAGCCTGTGTTGCTTTTGCACCTTTAAGTTATGACGATGTATTTGTTTTGTACGCTTTAGGTATTATTATCAACATTTAAGGTACTAATCTGGACTTATTAGGTACAAAAGTGTAGGCTACCTTTTGAAAAGGTAAGGCCACATTGACAGATTTTGTATTTCTGACAGTGTAAAAGATTACTCCCATAATAAATCAATAATAAGTCAATGGAAAAGCATAAATGAATATAAATACTGTTAAATTCATCTTTATTTCTATAGCACTTTTACAATGTAGATTCTGTCAAAGCAAACTAAAGGTAAAGTTCTGGTAAATTAAAACTGCTTAACTTCAGTTTTTACAGTTTAGATCAGTTCAGTGTACTGTAAATGTAAATACACCCATGAAACACAAGTTATTGACGAGCAATATTTTAAAACCAAAGTTTTTTAGTGGCTCTCCTGCACATAAGAGCTGTATGTTGTCTCCACACCTCCGCTGTGGGTGAAGGTGTCAGGTTATTGACCCCTGAGGTAATCACAGCGTGAGCTCTTGTGACTAAAGTGTCATTATCATCCACAGTTCACAGATACAACAACACCTGGAGCCTTGGGGCTTGAGCGCACCACAGGAACGCAGGCCTATTATTTCGACAGTCATGAAACGCTCTCCGACGATATTTCTGCAGGTCGAGCCCTAGAGGGGAGATTCGATGTCAATACAGCAAACCGGATAAAAGACAATGGCGTGGTGGAAACAAGTTCACAGGCTCAATCAGACTCCACATACAGTCTTGACATCTGAAATGCCTTTTATTTGCACATAAAGGATGGGGTGAAGGGCTCCGGGACAGTTGTGTAGACCTGCCTCCTCCAGAAGCCCTCGCTGAAAAGAGAAGTTGTCCAAGTTGTCAAGAGTTCGCCCGGAGGGAGACAAAGTCGGTCTGCTTTCATTTGCAGACATCTTCCATTTGACCTCTGCCAAGTCGGCTTTGAAAACAGTTTTATTGCAGGTCGAATGGTTTGACGCCGCTGAAAGGGACAGATTCGCCTTCATTCTCCGCTTCTGTCCATTCAGCCTCTTCCCCAATCTCACCGGCAGGCTGCATTGTGACAATTTTGCAGAGAACGTAGATTAAATGGGAGGCTAATAAAGAATGTGGGCCGACGAGGTGCAGCAATGCGAAGCCTGAAATTAGCTTTTTCAATTTTTTTTTTTTTGGGGGGGGGGGACAATAGTGACTTGGGTTTTCATTAGTCGTTTTGAGTTGAAGGTTTTCAAATAACTTCATGATGTCAGAGACAAAGATGTATAGGGCTCTGTAAACTGACAGGACACTTCAGTCATGCTGATGGCCCAGTTTTTTTCTTCCTTTCTGAACATCCTATAGATTCTGCTGACCATGAAGGAAACTTTAGTGTAGTTGGTAGTTTTAAAACTTGCCTGTAAATGGGAAATTTGCTGATTAAACATCAATTTTTCAACCGTGAGACATATTGAATGTATATTAAACACAAATTTAAGAAGCATATTAAAAAAATCTAAATAATCAATGATTACTGAGTTTGCATAATTTTCAACCCAGATTCATTTTGAAGACGTACCTCTATATACATTTCTGTAGACCGCGAAATACATCCCAGAAGGTACGTTTTTTTTTTTTTTCAGTTTTTGTTTTCGCAAACCCAAGGCCGCTGTCTATGCTTTATCAAAATTCTTTCATGAATGCCATCGCGCCTGCTGTTCTCGTGTTCACCCACCAGGGACCACTGTTGACAGACTGTTTGACTTACTGACCGATTGACTGACCCAACCTCCTGCTTCCCTAAACCCAACCAATTTCATTGACTGACCCGCCCATCCACTTCCCTAAACTCAAGCAACACTTTTCAAAAGCAATCCAGAAAAATAAAAGCCCTTATCTGATGTTTTCAGATTTTACCACATTCTCACCCTGGTATTTACTGATTTATTTTTTCACTTCTGTTTTTGTCTTACCTGCTTTCTGGAATCGTTCTTCACCGGACTTGAACTCCGTCATAATAGTCAACTCCTTTCTGCGTCTCAAGTCTACTTACGTACATGGCAAGCTAACGGGACAAATGGATTACAGCAGGTAAGCCGTCCATATAGAGGTAAGCGGTCAGCTGCTAAGGGCGAAAAAGGAATCACAGCATGTGGCCAGTAGCGTTTGTTTCAAAAATTAAATGCAGCCATACGTACTTCTGGCTACATAAATTGCACTCTTCAGAAATGTACATAGGGCTACATTTTCCGAATGTGCCTATGTTGATAATTTTACTTAAATTGATGATTATTAAAAGGGCTTAAAAGGGTTAGTAAAATATCTCCATTCAGTGCTATTTATAGATTTATTTACTATTTAATAGAGGATGCATTTACTATAATTGGACTGAAGTGACAAAAAATACTTTTCTGCATTGATAACCATAAAATAATAGTTACAAAATAAATATAATAGTAGAAATTCTTCATAACTTATCTGTGGGATTACACTACCTGACAAAAGTCTTGTTGCCTATGCAACTTTTAGCAAGAAAAAATAATAATAACTTGACTTCTAGTTGATCATTTGGTATCAGACATGGCTTAAATAAAAGGTAAAGGCCTCTAGAACTTTGATGTGGAGGCTGGAGTGTAAGAAGGAGCGCTATCCTGCTGATGAATTTGCCCCTCTTGGGGTTTGTAATGTAATGGGCAGCACAAATGTCTTGATACCTCAGGCTGTTGATGTTACCGTCCACTCTGCAGATCTCTTACAGGCCCCCATACTGAATGTAACCCCAAACCATGACTTTTCCTTCACCCAACTCGACTGATTTCTATGTAAATCTTAGGTCTATGCGTGTTCCAGTAGGTCTTCTGCAGTATTTTTGATGATTGGGATGCAGTTCAAACAGATGATTCATCTGAAAAATCCACCTTCTGCCACTTTTCCAAATGATCAACTAGAAGTCGAGTTATTATTTGATGCTCTTACAACTGGGATTGATGACAAGACTTGTCAGGTAGTTTATATTCAAACAGTTGAAGTCAAAATTGTTAGCCTTTTTGTAAAAAATGATAACACCTCTTAAAAAATAATGTTGACAGTAAATAATTGTGTGTGTGTGTGTGTGTGTGTGTGTGTGTGTGTGTGTGTGTGTGTGTGTGTGTGTGTGTGTGTGTGTGTGTGTGTCTAACATATCAGGACAAGAATCTGTAAAATGACATATGACAGATATTACAAGAAGGTGGTGAAATATGACATTGCTGATGTCCTCTTTTCTCAAAAAGCTTATAAATCACACAGATTGAGGTTTTATTTTTCAGAAAGTAAAACCATACACAGTTTCCTATGGCTAGGGTGGGGTTATGGTAATACGAAATACAGTTTGTACAGTATAAAAACAATTGGAATGTCCCCACAATTCACAAAAACAAACATGCATGTATGTGTCTAAATTTGCCAACGCTGCATTATTAAAAGCATGTTAAATTACTCTGCTTTGTCTGCTACAAAACCCATCTGGTTTTCTTCATTAGGTTTTCCCAAGCATTCCGCTTAGAATCACATGCATGCTGTGCGTCCACATGTTCCTCTCACCTGTACTGAAGGAGACACTGCTGATCATTTGCAATAGATGAATGTGCTTCAACTACTGTTCCTACATCAAAGAGCGCAGCACCTCATTCCTGTCTCTCTGCAAAGAAGAAGACCAGTTACATGCAGATATACTCTCTAAATCTTGTGCAGGTAGTTGTTCAACCTTTAAGCTTCGGTATGCCTTTAATCTAAAAGCCTGTGTCATGTATTAACACGCAAAAGCATTGACTCCCTAATAGAAGAATGTGTTTCTGCTTACAGGCTGAGCTGAAGGGACTTGAAAACTGTATGTGCGTGTTTGTATGTGGTGTGCAAACGGTCGTGGATAAATTAGACCTGAGGCTCTCTAACTGTAATCACAGTGAATGGCTTATTAATAAGATTGTTGAAGCGAAGAGCTGATTGAATGAAAGAAGCAGCAGAACTGGATGTGATGATTCCAGGTTCAAACAGAACTGATGTTTGAAGCTTTTAGACTTACTGTCAGAGTAAAGGTATTTTTGTTCGCAGTTCCTCAAGTGAACGTTAAAAACTTGTTACTGTACGTCTTGCGCAATGTTCTGACCTTTAACATGTAAACAAATAAAATAGTTCAGCCATGGGAAACTTCCACTGTGTTCACTCATAGACTTTAATATGAGTGTCTTTTAGGTCATGAGTTGTAGATAAAGGTCCAGATGGATTTGCTCATTTGTCCTATTTTGATTGCTAATCCATAATAAATTCTGAAAATAACTCATTGATAAAGGTTTTAAGACCAAGCGGAATCCTGTGTTGGCCATCCGCAGAGAATTTGGGATGCCGAATTTGGCAACCCGTGACTTCTCGTTCTTGAGTGCACACCACACCAAATTCGACATCTCAAATTCTGACTGAGGAAAGTAGAATGTGTAGAATGTGTTGACCAGTTTGTTATTTGCCTAATAAATTTCAAAAGGTTCATTTTTTTTACCTTATATATATATATATATATATATATATATATATATATATATATATATATATATATATATATATATATATATATATCATCCAAAATTACATTTTAAGCAGAGAGTTCTTTGGAGGACGATCATACTGGTACAAAAGATGTCAAAGATATTAAATGTACGTCATAACCCAAGTAATTACACAATACCTAGTATACTCAGTAATTCATTTTATGCAAGTTAGTTTAAAACTCAGGTGTTTACTCCGCCTAATGAAAGATGAATGTAATGGCATTCATAATCACCCGCGGAGCGCTTTACAGTCCAGCGCGAGGAAGACACTCATCGAGCAGCACGCAGGGGGCGGTGCTCCTAGGTGAAATCTCCGCCCAGTGGGCGCGCCATATGCAAATGAGCAGCATTGCATCCACCTGCCAAGCTGTTTGGGCAGCATTTGAGGCGAGCGAATGAGTGCAGGCAGAGGCACGCTCGTGTTTGGAGCTATTCAGACGGACATTCACAGCGCTCAAGCCGCTCACGGACTTGTCAGGTGGTTTTTACGTTTCTTTAACGCTTTTTAGTTTGAGACCAAACGGGATTTTAAACCAACTCTACCAAATGAACACTACAGTGAAGAAGAACACCGCGCTCAGGTGTTCAGAGAGATAAGGACTATACTTCACTATACCTGCAGGACCTGGGACATAAAAAGACAAACATTTACAAAAAACAGACGTTTACTGGATTCACTCAGTGAGTTCAGGCTCAAGGTTCTTTTTGGACTGTTTTGGAGCGAGCAGGTAAACATTAAATGTATCACCTCTGTATTAACTCTTGTGTTTTTTAGGAGCCAAATTGAGTTTGATTTCTAAATGCAACTTTTCATCTCTTATAACTTAATTGACTTCAGCCTCTTAGAAAGTTATATCGTTTAATGATTGTTTCACGATTTGACATTGTGTTGGCATAAATATGTACTCCCTGTTAATGAATAAAAAAGTCATTTAGTGAATTTCTGGATGTGGCTGCATGTTATCATTTAACTCATTGGTAACACTTTACCACCATAAGGTTCATTAGTTAATGCATTTACTAACATGAACTAATCATGAACAACACTTGTACAACATTTTGTAATCATATTTGAATATTTACTAATGCATTATTAACATTCAAGTCCATGCTTGTTAACATTAGTTAATGCACCATGAGTTAACATGAACTAACAATGAACTACTGTATTTTCATTAACTAACGTTTATTAACATTAATAAATACTGTAGTAAATTTATTGTTCAGTGTTTGTTCATGTTAGTAAGTGCATTACTTAAAATTAACTAATGAGACTTATTGTAAAGTGTGACCAACATATTAAATGGATAGTTCACCTAAGAATGGAAATTGTCATCATTTACTTCACCCCTTTGCTTATTTTTTTTTTAATTTATATACCTTTTATGAATTTATTTATTCTGCTGAACGCAAAAGTAGATATTCTGAAACATTTGGAAATCATTTATTGACTTCCATATATGTTTTCCTCACTATGGAAGTCGATGGTTGCAGATATTCAGCTTTTTTTCAAAATATCATATTTTCTGTTCAACAGAAGAAAGAAATGCAAAGGTTTATAATAACTTGAGGCAAAGAAAATAGTGAGTGCATTTTACTATCATTTTTGTTGAAGTAATGCATTTATGAAGAAAAGTGTATTTTGACTGGTGACCATTCACTGAAAAAAAAATATTCAAAGGTGATTCCTTGAATTTATTAAATGCTTTTAAGTTAAATGGTTGTAAACAATTTATTTGGGCTGAATTTAAACAAAGAAATTAGATTGATTGTTCTTACATTTTAATTTGTTAGTTTAAATTTAACACATAAGTTTTGCAGACTTTTTTTAGTGTATCCTCTTTATCACCATTTTATGTCCATTTTGTTTTGCACTCACAAGTTAATTAATTGTTGACAAATCAAGTACAAATATAGTGTAGCTGCCTACGTTACATTATCCACAAAATTCATGCACACTAAATTCTTTGCATAGTCTTTTATTTCTCTCAACTTTCTCGCTGTTCCTTAGTGTTTTTCTAACACAAATTACCCATATGCTGAGTTATCCGAGAGCTCCTGTGTGTATATAACAGTACAATAGGCTGTTAAGACAGAGTCAAAGTAGTTTATTTTCATTTGTCTGCTGGGTGACAGGAAAAAGAAACAAAATGCAACGTCTCCAGGGGCTCAGTGCATGTCTTCACAAAACAAACACCGTAACAATTTCACTTACTAGCAATAAACAAACACAATAAATGCAGATGTGGGCTGTACGTTGAAATTCCGCAGTGGCAAATGAGGCACGAACATGTAGAAAACAAGATTTGCATGAAAATACTGTAAGTGAGACCAGTCAACCTGTTGATCAGTCATGAGACCTTATGATTGTTGACAACTTGTGAATGATGTGTACCGGGAAGGATGAATTTACAGTACAAGCCAAATCTCTCTTTAGAAAAGAGTAGCTGAAGAGACCATTTTGTTAATGTTATCAAAGTGTGAAGTTGTTTTTTTTTTTATTGTTTGACATATCATTTTGGCACAGTTGCCCAATTTCTCACATTGGAATGGTTCTAAAACTTTATATATCTTTCTTCTGGTGAATACTGAAGGAGATAACTTGAAGAAAGCTGAAAACCTGTAACCATTGACTTCCATAGGAAAAACGAATTCTATTGAAGTCAATGGTTACAGTTTCCAGATTTTTTTTCAATATATTATCTTTTATGTTAAACATAGGTCAAACATGTTTGGAACAAGTAAATGGTGAGTATATGATGATCAAATTTGTGAACTATCTCTTTAAGATTGATTAAATTGCAGTTAATATTCATAACATGTCATAGTTGAGCCTTTTCCTCAAAAACAAAAGAGTTACTAGAGCCATCAAGTCATAATAAATCAAAGTGCAACTGAAAGAATGAGATTTAAACGCAACCCTGTGAATGTTTCTTGCTTTCCCACAATTCTCACAAAATATTTTGACTGTTCCTGAAAAAAATGTGCTAAAAGTCATCAATTCTGGTGGTCATGCATTGATCCGTTCTTTCAGTCTATTTGTGAGACTGCATTCATAACTGCTCGCCTCCAACAGCGTCTGTGTGCACTTGTGTTCATGTAATTGTTGTTTAATTTCACTGGCTTGTGTGAGGTAAAGAGGCAGAGAATTTAGATAAACAGCCGGACAGTTAACAAATTGCCTGCAAATAGCTGAGGTTTAAACAGCTGCTTCCACTCATAAACGCTCTGCGGCCAGGCAGCGCTTTTTTGGACTGATCATCTTCCGCTTCTACTGATTTACAATTTTTTCAAATATTGGCTTCTTCTTTTTCTTCAAAAGGAAAGGGAACCGAATCGCTGAATCTGATATTAATCCACACAGAAGTTTTGAAGGTTGTGTGTCACGCCACCGCTGAACATGAGTGCAGTCCCTCTATGGGTGGCAGCCTTGTTCCTGTCTATCTGAAAGAGATGGACTATGTGGCAACAGTGGGGTTTGTCAGCAAACTCCCATGGGGCATATCCCTGTGCTGTATGCTTCAAACAAATGTAACCAAACCCTTATTTTTTGGTGAATGTTTACTATGGAGGGGCTCTTAGCTTCTTTTATTAAAGCAATCAGCCCGGAGGTAAAGCATATGGAACTTTGGAGTATCTGGGATACATATGGGTGAACTAAATGAGACATTAAGAGAATGCAAGTACAGTTGAAGTCAGTGTTATTAGCCCTCCTGAATGAACGTACTTTAGCATTATATTAGATATTTTTTATACTAGTACTATTATTCAGCTTAAAGTGACATTTAAAGGCTTAACTTGGTTAATTAGGTGAGTTAGGGTAGTTAGGCATGCCATTTTATAATAAGGGTTTGTTCTGTAGACAATCGAAAAAATATTGCTGAAGGGGGCTAATAATATTAAACTTAAAATGGTTTTAAAAATTTAAAACCGCTTCTATTCTTGCTGAAATGAATCAAATAATACTTTATCCAGAAGAAAAAATATTATAGGAATTTCTTTGAGACATTTCTTGCTCTGTTGAGCATAATTTGGGAAATATTTAAAAAAAGAAAACAAAATTTACAGATTGGCTAATAATTTAGGTCTTCAATTGTTGAGGAATTACTACTGTGATAGAAGCTGCACATCACTTAAAAACCTCTTTAAAAGGTTTACCACATGCTCGAAGCAAGCTGTGGTTAGTTTTGTGAATAAGGCACAAACTATAATGAAGCTAATTTGCATATAAAGGAGGCATGTTTGTGCTGTGAAGCATGATCGTCACTTAATTTGAACAGTTACAGTACATTTAGCGCTCTTGTGAGGTCTTGATGAATATTTAATCACAGGGTTTTGTGCTGTAGTATGGCATGCAAAAATGTTTTGTCTTGAAGTGGGGTTGGATGTCATGGCAAAAAGGTGACATCCTTCTTGATCTTAGATGGCATGATGATTTAGTAGCATTCATGTTTTTATAAGTGCATAACAGATGAAACGATCAACATGCTGTAAATGTTGAACAAATCTGTTGAGACCCTATCCTAAATATGTTCAAAACTTATGTAAAATATGAAAAAATGCTAAATATTTATTGGCTATAACGTAGACCCAGTTTTAAATGTCAACTCAATAGGTCTAAGTGTAAAACCGTAAAAGTTTTAAGACAACGGTTAAACCAATGCTTTTACATTGTATGTCTTTTGCATCTTCTCGTGTAGGGCTGGGCGATTTGGGCTGAAATCAAAATTTCGTTTAATTGAACATTTTAACTCCAATTACAATTAATGAATGGTTATTTTATTTGCTTATTTTATTTCTTTATTTGTCATTATAGTTCACTGACTGGTTTTGACAGTAAATATGCTCACATATTACATGTGAGATGTTTTTGAAGGAGGGGTGCATTACTTGATTTTAAAATATTTGAAGGAAACACACTATTGACTAGGGCTGCACACTATTTGAACCATTGCGACTAGCTAATCTCCAGAGGCTGTGATCTGAAATATATATGTATTATTTAATTTCCCCCACCCAGAGCAAATGCGTGATTGCTGTCTGTGTGTGATAGTCTTACTAGCCAATTGAGTTAGCACGCTTTCATTCTGCCTAATCAGAATTGCGTAACTGCACCACAGTATGCAGAAGCCCCACAATAAAAAAATTTCACATAAACAGGAAAGTGTGGACAATTAGGAGAATGGCGTCTGCTACTTCAGAAGCATTATTAAACAAATTAATATCAAAGAAAAACAGGACATCAGTAATAAGAGAATATTTTGGTTTCAGAGTCACAGACAACAAACAAAAACTGCTCATTTTTAAGAGCTGTCGCAGAATTATTGCCATGGCTTACAGATTACCGACCTGAAGCTTAACTACAAAATCAAATCGCAAATCAAAATGCAATATCTGTCTGAAAAATCTCAATTAAGATACTTTCCCCAAATCATACAGCCCTATAATTCACTATCTAATATGATTATTTATTGAACATCAACGCTGAAAAACTGAAATAAAAACACACATTTTCAGAAACCAAGTCACTTTTTTTTCTTATAAAAAAGTGAAAATGAATAACTTGCACAAAGTTTTTCAAAAGTAGAAAATAATCTGTATCATTCTTTAATAAAATAACTCTTGTATATCCTGTAAAGAAAAATTTAAACTGCATTTCTTGCATCTTCTGTAAACGAATGTTTTACTTTAAATAATAATTTTATTGTAATAGAAAGTATGCCATCTCAAGGCATCTCTGGTGCAGCTTCCAATCATATTCAATGTGGTGCAAACATGCGACGTGTAGTTACTTTTTTTGAGAGGTTTGCGGGGATTCGATCACACGAAGGTTGTGCTGAACATAACCCGTGTGTTTGATGAAGAAATATAAATCAGCCTATACAGAACGGAGTCTTAACAGAGTCGTCACTCAACATGCGGTGGGGAAATTAAAAAAAAAAAAAAAAAAATTACCTGGAAATATTTTATCGATTATAGGTTCTGAATGTTGATTTGGATTAATCGCCCTATTCCGTCATGAAACGGTATAAAAAAGTTTTTGTGAATTTATTTATTTTTTTTTTGTGTGAATTTTTATGAATAGTGATTTTGTTCTACATAGTTTTTTTTGTAACCCATCACAAGTGATATAATCATGTTCCCTGGTATTTTTGTAATCTTAATAAAAACTTAACTTTGGTTAATATTATAAAGAACTGTCATTTGTTTAGTGGTTAGCTCAAAACCAATGCAGACCCAATAGTATCTGGATGCAGCCTTTATGATGCAAGCTGAGACTGCATCACTCAGCGATGCAATGTCAGACACAATGCACTCAAATGGAGCTAGTGACGTCTGCAGACCTGTGAATAGAGACAAATTATTGCCCCACAAAATAACATTCTGTAATCATACAGTTCTTTAAAATATTGTACTTTTCTTTTTTTCTCAGTGACCTCTGCACCTGTCTTCAACGCATGCACCATGCTCTTGGACAGTCTATGGCCAGTCCAGGTTCTCCTGGTTCTGTCTGTCCTAACGTTGGTCTTGGGCAATGAACCTCAAAATGCCCCGCGGGTCTTCTTGTCCTTCAAAGGTAAGAGAGCATTCAGTTCTGGTTTCTCTTGGTTTGCTCTTGCGTTCCTTTTAAGGATTGCGGCTCTGTTTGTGTGGCCTGTGGTTTGGAAGAACCCTGTGAATGTTCTGGAATATGCTTTTCTCACATGCTTACCTTCTGGTTTTCATGACTGAATTTGATGAGTTGATAAATGTTTCTGATTCGGCGGGAAATTCACAGAGTAGACAAATTCTCTAGTCTAACCACACGCCCAATGAGCGAAACTCATCATGGCGGCACTAATATCTTTCCCAACGAACGTCTTAGATTTTTCTCATCCAGCTGCGCCTACTTTCATTTGGTGTCAGAGTAATTAAAAACACAACAAGGGCTGAAAAAAACAAACATTGCGAAACTTCAACACAGGTCCGAGAATTTTACAGAAAGCTGAACATGCCGTCTCAATTATTTTCGGTAGTATGTTTTTAGGCACATTTCTGAAATAATCAATAGCAGATGCTAAACAGGAGATGTGAGATGTTAGTGATGAAATGATGGCAGATGATCTAACTGTTTTAGCACAGGGCCTGAGCTGCGTTCGGAAGAACAAACAAGGCAAACTTTTATAAAATGATGGAATTAAACGTTCACGGATGAGAATTGTCGAGACTATTTTTGATTTCACTGCTGAAATTGGGCTTTGGAGTTTTCTCTTTTTAAAAGCATAACATTTTTCAACCAAAATATGGACTCTTACAGTTGAAGTCAGGGTCATTAGCCCCCCTGAATTATTAGCCCCTTGTTTATTTTTTCCCCAGTTTCTGTTTGACGGAGAGATTTATTTTTCAACACATTTCTAAACAAAATAGTTTTAATAACTCATTTCTAATAACTGATTTATTTTATCTTTGCCATGATGACAGTACGTAATATTTTACTAGATATTTTTCAAGACACTTCTATTCAGCTTAAAGTTAAATTGATTAGGATAACTAGGCAGGTTAAGGTTATTAGGCAAGTTATTGTTAACAAGGGTTTTGTTCTGTAGGCTTTCAAAAAATATATATATAGCTTAAAGGGGCTAATAATTTTGACCTTAAAATGGGTTTTTAAAAATTAAAAACTGCTTTTATACTAGCCAAAATAAAACAAATAAGACTTTCTCCAGAAGAAAAATATAATCAAGCATCATATGATCAATATGATCAAACATTCCCTTGCTCTGGTAAACGTCATTTGGGAAATATTAAAAAAAAAAAAAAAAATTCATAGGGCTCTAATAATTGTGACTTCAACTGTATATTGTGATAAATGGTTCCTGCTGAACCTGTTGTACTGCAGAAAATATTAAACAAGCTTTAGGTTTAAGAGTTCAATGAACAGGTTCATTCTGGAGGTGGGGGTAAAAGCATCTTAATGGTTTAGATCAGCCATGCACATCAATATGCCTCAGGTCTGCACTGCTGGAGATCCATCCTGCGATTAGCCGTTTGAGAGAAAGGACCATGCAATTCCCCTGTTTGCCAAACTCTCTGCTTCCCAGATCAGAATGCGCTGGTGGACTTAATTACAAAAGCTGCCCGGCACAGTTCATTATTCAAGGCTTTTTTCTGCTTTAATCAAGATGGATTTAACACTCCACTGAACATGTTTGTAGATCCAGCCATTTCTGAAGGATTTCAAATATTGCTCTCTCGGGAGTTTACCTATGAAGCTGTGCTTTGATAATATCCTGCCACTTTACACTCTACGTTGTACACATTTCTACCAATGGGATCTAATGTGGTCGAAAGGGTTGTACATTTTCTATTATTGTTGGTTCCCTTAAGAAAAAGCTGATTTGTTACTTACTTGCATGCCTTGTCTAGTTGGGCACAGCAGTATTTGGATTCTGCACTCACAGAGCTCTCAAGCCAAACTCGCATTTAGCGCTTTTAATTGGTTTTGGAGAGCGACTGCAAACCTCATCATAAGACAGCACCTGCTGTCCACCCCAAACTGCAGACCTACTGTTTTCAGCCCATAACGCCTCGCAGCACACACAGGAATGTGCTAATTATTGTCAAACCCACACCCATTTTTAGACTTATAAACCTCCCATCTCATTGGAGCTCAGTCTGTGTGCATGGGCACACTTTATTTTGATGGTCTGTTTGTTGAATTTAGGTTACATTGCAACTAATTCTATTAGATAATAAGTAGACTGTAAGGTTGGGGTTAGGGTTAGTGTAAGTTGACATGTACTTGCTAAGTTTGTTATGGTCCGTTGAATGTCTATTGAAGGAGTAGTATCAACAGATATTAAACAGTCCACAAATACTCCAAATGGATCATCAAAATAAAATGTTTCCACCTGTATTTTAGGATCTTTGAAGCATTTCTTAACTTTCCCTGCATATTCCTTTAAAGATCAAAAACCCAACCCATCTCTGTTTAAGTTAGCTATGTTAATATGTCAACTGCTTTTAGATAAGTTATCAGGTTTTCTGCTTTACAGTGCTATTATTCTTAGGAACTCTGTGAAAGAAGTATATCAAGCCATAGTGAGTGCATTTGAGTACTCTGGGACTTTCTGTGGTGCCTTAAATCGATTTGATCCGTCAACCCACTTCTTTAGAGGTCAGGAGATTCGACCCCTTTTTCTAGTAAAGTGGTTTCACCCCACTTGGAGAGTAAATCAAAAACATCTTAATTGGTCTTTGAGCTTTGCAACTTCCTTCCCTCTTGTGTCGAACTTCATCAAGGCTGTTTCCCCTGCAGGAATATCTCCTGTGATGCCAGCGTTGAGGCTTTTTAAACCAATGGCAGATGTGGTACCTTTTCCATATCAGTGGTAGGCGAAATCCAATCCTGTTTGGTCTGGTGTAGAAATGGATTGTCACGGTAAATGGAATGACACTGATTCAGGGATGATCAATCAAACCATTGACTGCGCCCAGACACCTCTTTCAGTCTAATGCATAAGTCTTTAGGCAATAGGGACTTATCGACTCGCAATCAAGGCTTATTTAATGTAAATCAATGCTGTTTGAACGTGTGATTTAATTCACATCTTGTCACCACTGTTGAAAGGTGACCCAGCATGCACAATTGATTTACAGCCATAGGAGTCCATGTCGCCAGCTTCTCTCCAGGGGTTTTTGACCCCCTTCAGGTATTCGGACACACACCCCGCTGGGTGTTTAGACTAGTGCTGGCTTAACTTTGTGTGATCTGATGTCAGTGCTGCCTCTTTTCTAAAAGTATCCAGGACTGATTAGAGTAAGCTAATGTGGCTCTGCGTAAGTGTAAAAGGATGACGTACCTGAAACATGAAGTTCATGCTCTTGGAGGAGAATTTATAGGCGGCACCTTTGAACTTCCTCAGTGTTGTGATGCAATACCTGAGCTCAAAGTTGACTTCAAAGCTTTTAATGACATGCACGTGAAATATGCAGCTTTTTTCAGCCGAACAAGGGAAGGGATTGAAACAAGAGAAGATTGATATTCCTGCAGAACAAAGTTTTTGCTTTGAGAAATGAAGTCTGTTCGGGGATGCATACTTGAGTTGTGGATGGATTAGGTCTGTTATTTTGTTCTGGGCATGTCTGTATTTTGTTGAATTATTAATGATGGTAATAAACCAATAACACCATCCTGTATCCAAATTGAATTTGTGTAGAAATAATGACTAATCAGTTTGTGGTGGCTCTTTGCCAAATTATGTGAGTTTGCTGTAGAGCATAGGTCCCAAACCCAATTCCTGGAGAGCCGCAGCTCTGCACAGTTTTGCTCCATTCCTAATCGAACACAGCTGATCCAACTAATCAAGGGGTTCAAGACTACTAGAGACTATTAAGCTGGTGTGAGTTGGTGGTGGTTGGACCATTCGTGTAGAGCAGGGATCACCAAACTTATTCCTGGAGGTCCGGTGTCTTGCAGATTTTAGTACCAATACTAATCAAACACACCTGAACAAGCTAATCAAGGTCTAACCAGGTATACTTGAAACACCCAGGCAGGTGTGTTGAGGCAGGTTGGAGCTAAAACCTGCAGGGCACCGGACCTCCAGGAACGAGATTGGTGACCCCTGGTGTAGACCAACCTCCTCAAAGATCATTCAGAATCTTGGGTCAAAGCTGTCTAACAGTGATGAGAGTTTTGGGTGGAGTGGATTAAGTTTGTAGGTGTGGTTAGCTTTAAATCTAACCAATCTCTAAATCTAGTAATTGTCATTGGTGGGAATTTTTGGTGGATTTACCTGAGGCACATTCAGGCACAAACTCTTGCGCAATCAGTGCGTTCCAAAAGGGATATACTGTATCACCCTTCGAAGGGTACTTCAGAGTGAAAAAATCATGGACACCATATTGAACTTAACAATATGGTTTTAAACTGAAGTGCTCAAACCTGATCACTTTGGAGGGCTGTTTGGAATTAAAGATTTCAAAAATACAACCAATGGACAATTCAGGCCATGATCCTTTGAGCAGAGAAGTTTTTTTTGTCACACACTGTACTCAGTTTGGAAAGGCTCATAACTATAGCCTAATCCAGGGGTTTCTGAACTCTAAGGCTGCATTTACACTGCAGATCTTGATGGTCAATTCACATTTTGTGACCGTATCCGAAATTTATTTATTTATTTATTTTTTGATTGACCTGCTTGCATCATCTTCTAAAAGTGACTCTTATCAGATTGTCTGCATTTACACAGCACATGGCAAAAGCACAATGACCAGTAAAAAAAGAGCTGGTGCTGACTAACAGCTGATAATTAAAGAGTGCTCATTTCTCTATTCCTGTATGTAATCTGTTCGCAGCTTTTGACAAGCTGTTTAACTATAATTTATGACAAAATGGTTCTAATTTGTCCATCTTCTTTTGATATATATAGACTTTTTTAAAACCTTTAGGCATCTTAATGTAATGTCCATGGCCTGATTTATGCATGTCATGAATGCACTAGTTTTATATTAGTTAATATTAGTTACATGGCGGTCATTGCGCTCTTGTTAACAGTCTAAATACCTGTGCTATATGACAGTATAAAAGGTGTT